CTGTTGGAGAGTAAGAGCTGGTAGCTGTGGTGTTGTGTGCATGGCCAGCAAACGTGATCTTTGAATAACAGAGAGAAACAGAATCAATCGGCACTTAGAATTGCGTCACCATGTCATACACGCAATCCATCTGTTGGAGAGTAAGAGCTGGTAGCTGTGGTGTTGTCTCCTGAGGAGATTTACCTTTGAAAACCAGTTGTAAGAACTTGACTGCTCTTAATGGTCATCTGGGGAATCCCAGGCCATGCTCTAGGGTGCTTCCCGCCTATGTTTTGATGAAGCTTACCTCAAGCTTCAGTCTGACCGTTCTTTGGAAATGGTTTGATTAAAAGACTATAAAAGTCCTGGTTGCTTTTAGGTACACTCTTTGTCTTTCTGTTAATAAATAGATGTGTATGTCTGCGGGATGACAATAGAATGACGTACATGGTATCAATTTTTGTTGGTTGTGCAGGGTGTTCTGGCAGCTAAGCATCTCCTCGTTGAAGAAGATCTATGCTGTTGGGTTCGCTGGAGTGACAGATAAAGGGACTGCTTCTAGTGCTGTGGCACTGGAACTTGACTCCGGAACAGGAGTAGTTGTCGCAGAGAATGAAGCTTCAGCTGCTGGTGAGGAGCTCCTATTGCCACAGATCTCGATCAGCTCTGCTGGTGTGATGGTGGCCTGCATGAATGCACAGAAGACAAAGCTTATGTTTGGGCAGCTAGAGGATTGTGGGCAGGGGTGTGCTCTGTCTTCGTGGGGATTTTCTAGACTTCAACCACACATGGGCTCCGATGTAAACATCAACCTCGTGGACCGACGACTTGATCAGCACCTTCTGCTCTCGGTTTCTGATGGCAGTGCTTATGTCCTCAGGATGGACAGGGATGGAGTGCGGTTGTCACATCACTACGGAAAAGGGGAGATTGGTGTTGCAAGCAGTTATCTGGAGGTGGAGGAAGGCAAAAAAGTAATGGCATTCCTCCAGCAGGAATGGCGGCCACACCTGAAAGGAGTGCACTCAGGGCAGTGGATGGTCCGGGCAAAGGTTGCTAGGGGTTGGGATAATGAATCAGAGGGAGAGCAGGAAGTGGTGGGGCTCCCCAGCGAGGTAGCCTATGTGGACAGGGTCTTTCTCAATTCGTACCTACGCAGGGACAAGTCCCGTGGGTACCGTTTTTTGGTGGTCACGAAGGACGGTGCCTTGTGCTTGCTCCAACAAGGAGAGGTGGTATGGAAGAGAGAAGAAGCACTTGCAGGCATCATGGATGTGCAAATGGTTGACCCACCCCCAGAGAAGGGTGGACTGCTGGTCAGCCAGGTGGAGGACGACCTGCTGAAATGGCTCAAGGTAACAGTGGAGCAATACCCTCTACTGCCCCCC